ACAAAAATTGGCAGTGATTATAGTGATAATCAGGGTGGATTTAGATTGCTTCAGATACTACGAGGAGACGCTATGCATATAGTGAGTGATATTTGATTATTTTCGCGCGTACATTATTAAGTATATGTATTAACTCGGATGACAGCCTTGACTACCTGCATTTAATCCTGTGTTTTTCCGCATAAGAAGCTGGCGTATGTAATTTGGTTTTATGTTTTTTTTAGGCTTATAATAAGTGAGTCATCATGAATAATTTTATTAGAATCATTAATCTTTGCTTGGAACATTAGCGAATGAGTCGCTTGTACAAAGTCCACAACGCAGTGAACAATATCATTTCCGTTGCCAATCGTTGTGGGTCGATATGGGTTTTACCCCTCGCCAAAACCCCACTATAGGGCTACGTAACGAAGGATATTGCAGTTAACTTCGGAATCTGGGCATTCTTGAACTTGAGAGTTTCCGCCAGGGTTAGGCCGTCAATTTACGACAAAAACAGATTAAATGCCCCATTCCCACCCCCAGGTGCTCTCAGCTACTTGTGTGTTGGAGAAACTATGCACGCGCGCCCGAACTAGCAACCCTATTGTATCAGCAGGGCTACAATGACACGATACTTAATTCAGGGTGTTCAGAAAGAATTTTTCTTTGTGTGCCCAGGCTTAGATATCTGCATTCCACTATCTGAGCGTGTTGAAACTCAACTGAGTATAGCAAACATGTATAACTATATATCGCATGGAAGGGGTTGTTCTTTACTCGTCTGTTGAATGTCACTCGTTTCATCTCACAAAAAAGCGCTATTCCTTTTCGCTTTGGGAATGATGTTACGTATAAATAATGATTTTAATGGAAAATAGCAGCGATCAAACCAGATCCTGCAGACCCTCCCGACGCCCATGTTGCTATCGATCCTGCTAGTTTACAGTGTTATCCCTTCATACGTACTCGATCCTTAATACGACTAGCTAACCTGGCTAAATTTATATCATGTAGATGGAGCCATACGAACGACGATACCCATGCGTCAAGTAGTGTCACTTTACGATGAATACAGACAAAGTCAACAAATACAGACTTGAAGTACGACGAGTCGGCAATGATAATTTGCCAGCAGACACGCAAGGACATGTTTGTGACAGCTAGTACAGGTACTTACGTACTTTTGAATTAATGTTCTGTAAAAAGCAGTTTGGATACAGAATGTTAACATGTTTTTAATATTAAAGGTCGCTGATTGTCAGCATTGAGGACAGACGCCATCTTGAGTGCGAGGAGGGCATGCTAGATAAGCAAGATAGGTTTCGAAGGCATGCATTAAATATTCAGATAAAACAATAACACTTTCGTTCAATACCAATTACCGTGGACAGCGGTGAAGGTTCCGAATCGAGGACAGCAGACAGCATTTTATAAAATGAACGTGTCTACGAAAAAAAATACCGATAGATTTTCTTTATGTGTAAATGATGGCTTATATTTAAACGCTTACCATATTTTGCTAAACGCGTATTATTTTCGCATTTAACGGGAGTTTTAGTGAACGGAACTTAATGCGAACTAACATAAGCATTAAATGTAGTATCGTAAAGTTGTTAAGTAACTAATAGTATGTTGTACAAGATATACTATAAAGCAGGTATTGGGTAATCAATCACGAGTATTGATTCGTTTTTGGAACTTAATTCTCTGCTAATTGTAGCACTTGCAATCTTCGTTTAGTAGTACCGTTTGACGACACTGTCTTCCTCGAAGTATCGTACTATATATTATGTTCACCTCACGGCCTTGCAAAAATTACGATTGTTGCCCTTTCTGTCTGCTTTAGATTCGTGCGTGACTAATTAATGTACTCATTACGGAAACAATAGGGTATCAGCCTGCTGTATCAGTAACAGGGCTGGCAATATTGCTCGGGCTCTCTGTATTTAAAAAGCACCTCGTTTTATCCACACAAGTTGTGTATACAACAAAGCAGACTATACTGGTTTTGTTGTTCCTTGTCATTGACTGGTAGGAACGAGCACTTCTTAGCCACTTGTTCTGCACATATGGCGGGACGTAGTTATCTCAAGGCCAATATTCCCTACTGCTTAACGGGCTTTCGCTGTACTGTCTACACACCTTCGCGTGTCGGACTGCCCAGAGCTGACTAATGAGTCCCCAGCTTCCGGTTGTCCCCGCGACTGAAGATATTTTTCTTGAAGCCGCGGACACTAGGCCTATACAATGAAGCATTATGTTATTCTTACGTATATCCTGTTGGCTTAATACTCGTAAAAGTCTCGGCTGTTCCCGTTGCCCAATAGGACTTATGATCATGTTTTTACTGCGCCGGATTCGCATTTCCGACGTATGAGTCCTGTCCTTCTGCGGCCCACCTTTGCGAGTTGTTACACATCGCACCATCGCCCACATTCATTTGTGCAGGAAATGCTGTATCGTCAGAGGGCGAACAGCCTCTGTGCATATAGATCACGCTGATGACTGTCAAAAATCATCAATGCCTTGGCTGCCTGCGGAAGTACATGTCGTCATACATTTAGGTCTGAAGAATATAGGATGCCTTGGTTGAGCCAAAAGCCGTCTATAGTCTAACCAGTATGGCAATCACTGCTACCCACCGATGGCTCACCAGTTGACGCGCTGCGAGGTCGGCACGTGGTAGGCGTTAGAGGTAGCTGAGGTGGCAAGCTGATCCGAGATCCTAGTTGCGCTTCCGTCTTGCATACGCTCGGTGCTCAAATAACGCGGAACTAGCATGGTTCGCTAGAGCTGCTCGTATCAGTATGCTCCACCTGGTCAACATACATTCCTAAACTTTTTAAATTAACTCGATATATAAAATCACCCTCGTTGCGGCGTGAATATTAGCGAAAGGTGCTAATCTTCACGTCCTTTGAGTGCTGCCCAAAAAAACTCTAAATTCGAGTTTTCACCAGTTCATCTGGCAGAAATCGCTTGATGTTCACGAGCTCGAAAAAATTATATTAGCGAGTCAGCTTCTCCCGAAGCAAAGCGTTTGCTTAGTATCGCTTTACAGCTTGCCGAAGGTCCCCTCTATATCGATCTTGAAATTAAACCAAACCCGGAACGCTACTTGCAAATGTCTGTACACCCCGTCTGTACACAGCTTCACAATCTGGTCCAATGGCCATTTCGATTTTACGCGAACCGCTCATAGTCCTTAGCCTGTCGCTTAGACTTCCTCTCGTCTAACACAGTCGACGGCTCACCGTTACCTGCTCTATCCCTATATAGTTGTCGAAGTGCGTTTCTTCACATATTCAAACTCAAAAATTTAAACAACTATGTATTTTTGGCAGACACATATCAGAAACTTCCTGAACTCAACGTATTTGTGTATTGACCCACCGCTGACAATACAAGTAATAATTATATGCTCCTGGCTTAATTTGTCAAAGGTCTGGATTCGTAAGGCCTCGGAAATTTGTTGGCCTTTCTGCATCACGTGTCCTTCAGCTCATTAGACACGAATCGACCGTAATAAAATTAACATAACAGGTAACCATAATTAACCTAAGGAAGTCTTACGGATTTTATTAAGGTTTGAAGGATATCTACTTCAGGAAACAGGATGGTGCCTCTGGGCACGTAAGTTGCGCTGTTGTCACCGTATTTGCAAATGCCAGACAGACCATTTATTATACGAATCTCCGAACACCACGCCTTTTAGCTATAGAACTAAATACGCTCGTCTAACTGTTTGCAACAGAGAGCACTTTCTAGTAGTAAGTACCGAGTTAAGTGTACTAGGTGTTTTTCTAAGGAGTATTAACACCAGTTTCGAGGTCAGTAAAAATAACCGGGTCGTACACTGCGTGCCTATTTTTTAGCCGTATTTTTTCTAAAGGTTCTACATTAAAACAGATACTTAAATTCTACTTATTGCTAGGCACCGATATGATGGTAGGTCCATTATGAGAGACTGTGGGGCGTATGATTTCGTCTTCCTCCGGATCCTTCTCGTTAAAAGGATTCTGCTCAACGCTCGTGTCGGTTGCCATTAAAGCCATCGTACTCACGACGCTTTCCCGGTCCATGAAAATAAAAACGAAGCAAACCATATTAGAAGATCTATTGTAGATACGACTAATTTATAGATGGCTAGAAAGCTTACCTTATCCTTTACACATGTTTAAACACAACGGTTCGACAACAAATCGAGGGTTTGGTTCAGAGCATTTAGCAGTACAAGTTACAAGAAGCCAGCGATTAACTCAGGACAGATAAATTCGACAAAAATTCGACAATACATAAAATATGCAACGCGTATGGATCCGGCGTTAATCGTCTTAACCAAGGATAGCGTAGCCAGGCACCAAGACTAACAAATAGACTTTACACAGGGCTAAGGATATAAATCAAGGAGATGATTTTAATTTTGTTGGCTAGTTCAAAAGAATCACCCGGAAGGTGCGCTTCCCTTTAAGCCTATCTATCTAAAATTCACTAATTTTTTTTAACTAACAATCTATACGATCTAACGAACATTTTTCTCACTTTAGGTCGCATCTATAGGCAATACAATCAGCGCTAACTGATGCACCCACTAAGTATAAGAAATAAAGAAAGATGAAAATATGACACGAGTATAAGTAAATTAATGTCGCGAGCAACACTAACTTGGTAGAGCATGATCGAAGCGAGATTTTGCTTTTTACCATAAAAATCTCATTGAATCTGGAATCTATAACTGGAACATTTACTTTTCCCCTTAACAGACCTCACTGAGATACGAACATGTATCCAGTGATGCAGTCTACGAGATGTAGTTTAGAAATAAGGTTGCTTAATGCATAACCTTGTTTAGGCCGTGTAAATAAATACCTGCGGGGACCGTATCCGTTTTGAACTGGGTGAATGTAGATGGGTACTTTCGGCCTTATTTGTTGACGCTTGACATGATATTGTTCCGATTAGCCGATCGGATCGATCGTACCAAATTGATCTGATTGTCGTCGACCATATAATCAGTGCCAGTTTTTGAAATGCCAGAGTCCGAGTCAGCCTCGGCATTCTCATCAGCTTCAGTTGAGGTACGCAGCACGGCCATCTGCAAAAACGACTCCAAACGGAAGACATGTCAGAGAAGTCAACTTCGTACGCTATGATTCGTGCTTGAATTCAGTCATACATCTTACTAGTAATTTGTTTATGGATCAGTCGCGGGTTTCTACGAACTAATTCGTGTCAAGTCTGTAAGAGATAAATGAGCAGGGTAGTTAACTAATATTTGTTAACAACTTATTACATATATTCATGTCTACTGCAACAATTATCCAAGAAATATGGGCACGATCGAAGGAGATAGTTATGCTAATATGTATCAGCCTTTTTAGGAACTCGTATATAGTATTTCAGTATATAGAATCATGAAAAGATGCACAAGATTCTTTACGAGAGCTGATTCCTCTCTTTGATCTCGCGATGAAAAATAATATTTGTGGCACGGTGGGGGCCAATTCTGCATATACACCGAATCGGGAGTGTAGGTATATCTACATTGGTCAGACGTAGCTGCATAATCAGCTAAGGTGCAACGCAAGTATATTGAAAAAGTACTAAGGGTCTTAGCTAGAATCGAATCCGTTATCAATTATTGTTGTCAATTGATAACAACATTAAAAAATACCTCAATAATCAGGACTACTTTTCAACAAAGACTTTATTTACGGTCTCAGCATCCGCAACTTCAACAACACCTTCTGCCATTTCTAGAACCACTGTATTTCGAACGAATAGCAAATAGAGGATCCGCAAGGAAGTAACTGTCGTTGAAACCAGCGCTTCTGAGAAGAAATTAATTCCACCGAAGTTTGTCTGAGGGTCGTCATCGAAGATCGTCGTGAGTCTATAGCCTTATTGCTTTTCATAGACGCATTGTTCTGTATGGGCATTCTGGAAAGTAAACTGTGCGTTACTTCAGCTGCAAACCCAGACTTTAATGACGCGCTCGCGTCACTATGTACCCTATATACTTGTTACCCTAGATCCTTAGCATTAGCAAAATTTTACGAGCCACAACGATTTCAGTTGTATCTTATACACAATGCAACTCTATGTCTGGATATTCTGTTAAGACTGATAAGTGGTACGACTCGCTGATTTGAAACATGTTATTTGCACCTTTTAGGTAAAACTCCAATTGTATGCAGATTTAATTTGTTCCACGTCGACATGGACAGAGCTTTTTTCGGTAACCATTTCTAGCGTTGATCCCCCATCAGGACGTCGGCAGAAACTGCATCTCCACGTAAAAATAAGATAACTTAAGTAGAGAATGCCAGATACAAGGACGTACCCCATAATGAAGTATAACATCCAGAGTACCTTAAGGCACATAAAACGACATAAACGTTACGGCTGAACTATTTTACAATAGAATGTGGCACAATATTGTTGAAGAGCTGAAGCTTGTGATCTGCTATTATCCTAGTATCAAGACGAGGTATTAAAAAAGAATAGAAGTACAACTAGGTCTACGTATTTTTTAGCGTGAACAATATCATGCTTTGTGTGTGCTTCAAGCAAAAAGATAAGTGCTCTCTTCTTTTTCTGACAACTATTTTATGCTCGATCGTACCAAATCCGGTTTTCTTGAGGGCTTGAAGTTGGAATAATTTTGCCGAACCAACTGTAGCAATCGTTCTGTAGAGGGACAAAAACGTTATAATGGGTATACAGGTATAACAGTTAGAAGCCCGAAAGCGACAAAAAGATGAAACGTCCCAGCACAATCTCAAAACCCATTGGTCAATTTAACAGCAAGCGTCTTTCAATTAGGCTCATTTAATTCTGATTTATATAGGACAATCACCAATGAAGTCCTGCTACCTTTGCGGCGCAATCCTAGCGGACAACTATGAAAGCGAAGACATCGTCGGCAGACAATCTTGCGAGATGCGCAGTCGGCGTGATGCTCAAGCCTAGGTTAACCCAATATTCTGAAAATTGGAAAAAAAAAACTGTAGATTCTTTAACGATCGTCTCTTATGTTGCACAGCGGCTACTCTATTATTGTTTTCGCTGAGACTGAAACACCGCTGGCACAATGAAGACATTATAAATTCGATGGAACTATAAACTTATATCTGAACGGACGAGTCGACTATTACACGTATTTCGTTAAAATTCTTGTATAACTATTCCACCGACCCTCCATCTCTCTCCGCTTGTGCAATACATACTTGACATATTTATATGTCGAGACATTAATCTTTAACTTATTACTATTGTGGACCAATATACATCGTGAACGGCCCGTGAAGCCGTTCAGCCTTGACATCATTCACAATGAAGTTAACGGTAATTTACGGGAACGCCGTACTGGTCATAACAATTACAAACCACTTACTGGGATGTAGCGAAGTCAACACGATTCTAAAATATTACTACTACCTGCATAGGATAGAGAACACTTACACCTCTACCCACCTATTTGTCCTTATAGGTAGTTCGAATCCAGTTTTAGTCATTGGTGTAACGTCAGCCTCAAAAAAGAAACTTTACACGAGGTCAATTTCGTACAACCATTTTCCTCTTTTGTCAGATTCAAGCAACAATAATTAATGCTAACATTACTGCCCGATACTGTGTACGGCTCGAATATACCACGGTAAATGTCTGCGCTCCGTTCACTGAACCGCAGCTCAGATTCACATTATTGTCATCGTCGAATTACGTGTACTACTTTCTATTTACTACGCTGTTGCTAGGTCAAGGCTTTGTCGACCCAGTTTCAATTAAGCGCGTATATCCAGCTAAACGCAACCATCTATTGGTTACTAGGGCGTATTGATTTGATTGTTCGCGTCTCTCTTGATTTTCAATTCAAATTAGACGCGCGCTCAATGTTGCCTTTAAATCGTGGTACAATGGAAGATGGCAGGTATTCGAGGCCGGTAACTCGTGGTCGTCGGCGGCGGCAAAACGTCAAATACACACATATTTTCTAAGCATTTAAAATTTGTTATCTTTTGTTGCTATTCCGGATATTATCTTCTTTTTTTTTTGGATTTTGGGTAGCTAATAGTTGAAGGTGATAATCTCTAATGGATTTTAAGTAAACGTCCGTGTGGACGATTTTATTACAGCAGGTTAGTTTTGAATTGGGCAAAGGCGCTTCGATACTCTGGTTTGACTATTAGTGGTTTGCGATGTCCACGGAGGGTAAGAAACCGGTTAAAGGAAACAAACAAACAAACTTCTATGACAATGTTTCATTGAAGCACAAACGAGATCGATTTTGTTAAAGTGCGCATTTCAAGATCAAGATTTGATGCTATTTTCTACCGCTATTTTCAGTTCGGGCATGCATAGCTATTGTAGAACGGTTTAATGCAGTAAAGGATTAGTAAATAGTACATCTGTGTACTTCCTCACAGACGTACCAGAGGTATGACAAAGCTGATGATACGTTACAGAAAAAAACCTGGTCTGTCCGGTCCACTAGAAGACCATCTATTTTCTAACGTTCTATTTTATTTGTTTTACGTATAGCTTAAAAAACTATTCAAACGTTGTCATCAAAATAGTAATACCTTTCTGCTGTCGTCCGAGGTGACGATGAACCTAACAAATAAGTGTGCTTCGGATGCTTACTATAGAAGAGGGCTGTCATAAATGATACGTCATATCTAATGGCCCCCAAGCTAGCACCGACTACAACGTACAGGATGAAGAAGATGCTGAGTGTCCAAATGGATAGTACTAGGCCGCCGCGGGCAAATCGAAAATAGCCATCTCGCTGAACCAGAACATTTTGCTCCCTGATTGATATCGTTTCCTACATAATTTTCCTGACATGATTGATATCGGATCAGAAAATGCAGTCGCACCTAAAGGTATACAGACACGTTGTTCAATGCAATTATTACTAGTGTATTTTTCTAGCCATGATATTGTACGCAAACGCTTGCAGACGCGCACTATTTGCGCGTTTCTTACGATAAATCAACACAAAGCAAAAATCGAACTGAAAAAACCATTTAAACGAACAACAGGAAATCAGTAAAGTCGTAATTGTTTTCTAGCTAAGATAAGTATATGTATACCATTTGGGTTATATTGCTGTGCGCTTTGGATTGACTAATATATTCTGTGATATGCGGCTTGCCATAACTTAAAATGCCGTATAACTTATTTACCTAGTGAACTTTTCGCATTGAGCCCAGGGGTGATACTGCGTCTCCCGTTAAAACGGCTGAACAGCCGCTTAGATATTGATCTGTCCGTTCGGCGTACGGCACTCATTCCACAACAGCATGGACGCAAACATAGCATTATCCAGAACTGTGCCATAGAGCGTCCCATGACAATTATCCAGCTTAAAAGGAGAGGGATTCCAATAGCCGTATAAACCAGGATAGCGAGTTGACTTAAAGTGGACAATCGTAATAGATTGCCTAACGCTGCGCGAGCCCAGAGAAAAAGGTCAACAACAACAACAAGTTACATAGTTGTCTCTGTCCGCGTACTAAACACGTTCTATTATAATTCAATGAGAAATAAGCAGAAAAAAAATATCCTATATACATATATAAAGTGATAAATGTAAATTAATTAGAGTAAATACCAGTTGTTGTGAAAAGTGGAAGAGTAAAAGGGAGTGAATTTTCGAAGTCCGTTTCCCTGAAATCCTTTCGAGCGACCGTCGCATCGTTTGTACTTCGAACAAGCTCATCCAGCGGAATGAGAACTCGATTACGCTCCAGTTTTATACTCATACGTTTGAAGCAATCTGCGCGATGATGAACAACAGATAAGTTATTGGTAACTGATCAGCGTTAAGAATACAAACAACTATATGCAGAACAGCATGAGAGGTAAACAACAAAAACCCTACTAGTCCCAGAATTCAAATTACTGTGTGCCCTGCTTAAACCCATTATGAAACTGGGCTTTGCGTTAGGTACACTTAATGCTGCATGTAAATAGAAATGGATCGTCCCACATCAATACTTGTTTTCTTCAACTTGATATAATACTTCGCAAGTTATAACTTGTGTACCATAGGCCCGCAGGAAGTTCAGCTGCGTAGTCTAAAGCAGGCCTTAGAATAATTTAGGTACCGGCAAATTCACGAATTACATTTTGAAGAGAGTAAAGAAGCAGTACCCAGGTGTGCAATTTCCTTCGATACCAAGTAGAACTATCGCACGTATGCATGATCCTAATATAAATTATTATTCGTACTTATATATTATGATCATAATAATCCATAATGTGACGCATATATCGATAGTGCTTGAACGATGCTTCCAATACAGTTTCTTTCAAACATGACAAACAGGTTCATACCTACAACAACGACATGTGGCACGATGCCTTACTTTAGCTTGACATATACGCTTTACTACTATTAAACTAAGTTCGAGATCACTTATTTCATCCAATTTCGTTGTAAACTTAACATTGTTAACAGTCTGAGATCAAATGATCCGTGTGTTCCACCTTCGCCCATTAAACAGACTGTACCTTGAGTTTGTTTTCAAAAACGAGCACTTGCTCTCAACAAGAATTCGATTAAATGCAAAATATATATATATATATATATATCGGGTTGACGAGTCAACCACATGCAAAAAGCTCATAGAAACCACGAGAATGTAATGAAGCAGACATTCGAATCCGGTTTTGCATGATCCATAATCCAATGTGGCAACAATATCCTACTATTGGTATACGTTCATTCAATGGGCCGTTCATCAGAAGCCATATTGAATATACTGCTAGATAGTTATTGGTTTCTCTGATGAATTCTGCTTTTGCGATCTAAGCCGTTACTTCTTCTCTACCTAATTAACGTTGGCCAAAGGTTTTCGACCTTCGCACGCACATGTAGCTCATCAATTTAGGGCGCTGCCACAACCAATCTCATACCAAATTAATTATAATCCTGTTCATCATTGGCTTTTTCGTTTGACTCACTCGGATGAAACCTCGACGCGCGTACATAAAGATGGAACCGAGTTACAGATAAAACCTATTTGGTACGATACAATTCTGTTTAGGCATGATAAAAGTAGTCGACGCTTACCCATTTGTGTCTAGTAATTGAAAAGTTTCCCTTGCCTTTTAAATATAAACGGTTTCTATGAAAAAGCATCCTAAGTTGATTTTGACTAAAATAGAGAAATGTAGCTTTGCTATACGCGGCATAAATCATCGAGTTAATCGGTTTTCTTTATGGTAAAAATACAACTAAAGCCGGACTGTATTTTTAGGCTGGGTCTGGCAAATTTTGTTTGTGTAGTTTCAGCGGCAGCACTTTTCTTTGAAAAAAAAATTTCGAGCTTTTGCATAGAAAGCTTTATTCTTACTTTTGTCTGCACAACTTCTAAGGAAGAGAAGTCTTAAGCGTCTCTAAACGGAAACAATTTACATCCTATGTGTGCTTTGCCAAAAGATAAACAAAGTTCACACAGTTACGAAATAATAGCCAATAGGTATTAACACAAGATAAATAAGAAGTAGAAACAAAGCATAGAAGATCGTGAACAATAGAAAACACGGAATATTGGCAAAAGGCAAATGGAAGTTGAAAATATAAGATAAACATATATTTGTGATATTGCAGTCGTTTCGAAAGGTCTCGTTTGGCTCGTTTTTATGAATTGTTTCTAAATTGTTTTAAAATAAGTAAACTACCTTTATCCGTTGTCTTTCATAAGTTTCTATTCTATAGAGCATTGAAACTGCTGATTTTGAAAAATTGCGCGTCTACTGTGAAGCAGAATATTTATTTGAATAACAAAGATCGTTGAGGACAATGTATCGATGTATACTGATAAAGTAACACAACAGAATTACCTAATATGTAGTCAACCAAAAGCTTAACATTACGTTATACTTACATATTAAACTAGTCAGATGCATGTTGGATAGAAGGTGATGTTCTTGATATTGGTGTTAGTTTTGTTCAGATGGGAGTAATGATCATCTTTTTTTCAAATTTTTCTAGAAAAATACGTAAATTGTTATTATGAAGAATGTTGCTTGAATTGACTATTAGGCATTGTCACATGTTCAGCTAGGTTTCTTGTTTGTCTAAGTGAGATTTGGACATTTTGTTATCGTAGCGCACTCTACATATATTTGTGTTACGTTCTTTACATAGATCGTTACATGGCAATGGATGTCTTTGCCAAAAATGACGAACATATTTGGTAAAAGCATTTGAGCTTCGAGAAAAGGATTAAGTCTAGCCAAAAACCCAGCTTCGGTTGTCAAAAAAAGTCCGCTTGTCACCTATTCTATCAGGTTTAGCTCACGCTATGAACGTGCGTGTCCATGTATATGCCATGTATATACATATATATGGAAGTCCATGTATGCGCTTGGGTTTGCAACGTCACTTGTAGTTTTCTAGAGCGGCTTGTAAGGGTTCGAATTTATTTGTTGCCGGAAGGTAGAAGGCTTCGTTCGAGCCTATATTCGAACTTTAAGTACATTGCAGGTGTCACTATTGGTGCTAAATGCGTTCAATGATCGAAGCTGCAAGACTTTTAAGAGACCTTTTAATTGGGGTTGAATTTGTAATGTGTTGTTGACTTTTTTAACAGATGTTCTCTTTAAAATATCACTCTATAGGCGAATAGTATCTTAAGCTCGTGATTAGGTAATTGACGTATATTTTTTTACCCACTATATACGATTCGAATTGTGTGAGTCTAACGTCGTTCAGTTGAACCGAAAGCTATCGGAGCTTTATTGAAAACAAATAAAGTGTACCGGTTTATTTTTGCCTTCAGTCAACGTACCATCCCGGAGCAACCTTACCGTATTGTGGGTGAGTCACGGGGAATTTGATTGTGAGTCTAAATTGCGTTGATCTGCTTTGTGCAAGTTATAAGAGTACCACGCCAACTAAATGAAGAATATTTTATTAGAAGCTTTTATCAGTAATAAATGATAAGCGTAACTATTCGGGTCGTTAAAAAGTACCTATGAGATAAGAAATATTAATCGATATCCTTTATACGTAGTAGCTACAGCTATCAAAACGTAAAAATAATTAATAAGGTTTTTATAAGTTTTTTTTTTCTTAGAAATAGAATCTGGAAAACGTGTAGAATTTGTTAGATAATTATTTTGGATAAGTGGTGAGTAGGGATTTTCAAAATGGGCTAGCAACACGTTAATTGTACTAGATTACTCGAGGTATTTGATTACATCTTTCCTGGACATGTCCTTAAAATAGGAAATGCGATTTTTTGCTTAAAGATACATATATTAGGGAATATTTTACTAGGACTTGACACAATTATTGCGGCGTTCCCCTATCAATGTGTATGGCACAGATATATATTTAAAATATGTGCTGAAAAACATGCTTTTCTTTCCGAGGTTTCATAAAAGAGTGCTCAATTTTTATTATCGAACATACATTTAAATATGTTAAATTATATACTGGGTATATTAAATAGTGGGTACGATGATTTCGCGACGCCATTAAGTAGGCTACTGTATACAGCAAACAAACCTGAATTAAATGTGTCGTTTCGTTGAGAAACGGAACTAAAAGTAAGATGCACTGAAATGTTTCTTTTTTCTAAACAAAGTAAACTACAACTCGACATTTAGAGAAATCTTATTAAATAAACAACTTACTAAAAAAATACTAAAAAAATAATAATCTTTGATGCAAAGCATGCCTAGATTTATCGGATTCTTAAGTGGTTCCAAGTGCCGATTTTATACGCATTTCGATCGATTTGTCGAGCAATTTCATCGATTTGTAACCCACAACTTCAGTAACACATTAAATGAACAGGAGAACTTGCCAGCCGAGGTGTTCATGGGCTTTGTATGAAGGAAAAAAGTTCCGTTCAAGTATCATCAGTCCACTGAATATAGATTGCAATTGTACTAACCTAGCAATCATTTGCACCACCCTTTCCGATTCGGAATTTCCTTGTAGCTCGGCCACCGTAGCGGTGTCATTTCCTATCCGATACATTTTGTTCTGCATGTATAGATCATGTGATGTAGGGGCAAAAAGGACAACGAAGATAGCTGCTCCTGTTACAACGTACAGTATGATCATGATTGATAACGCGACTCACAAAAATAGCGGCTTTACCCATGGACACTGGCGTACAGAGCCCCATAGCGTAACGCACAATATGCGTTATACCAGGCATTGGAAGAATATTGTAAAGATCTCGTTATATACAGAAAAAATAGACAACGTACAATTTATTACGTTAAACATCGCATGAGTGTAGGAC